GACTTGAGAATAACTGGCCATACCTATATATGTACTTTGCAATAGTTTTATTTGATAATTAAATGTTGAAGAAGTATGTTATTCTAATTATTCATTGTTATTGTTGTTCCTATAATTTTTTCATTATTCAGGGGTTTATTTCAATCACAACATACTATCCATTTGTTAAAATATTGGATTTGAGGGGAAAAGAAAATTAAAATAAAGGCACATGATATATATCTAGGGGGAGCGCTGGAATCATGACCCGATCACCTCAAATTTGAAATCAAATATTTTTCTCAATATTAGAGCACGTTCTACGTTAGAACGTGAGACTTTCGCAGCCTAATGTCATACCCGTCATCCAGTCTAATTGGGCCTTAGACTTAGGCCTCGTATTGAGTTTCCAATTGGTATTGAGTTTTCAATTAGACTTGGGTCTCGTATGAAGGACTCACAAGTGAAGAGGATCTATTAAAATATAATACTATTTTTTAGTTGTTTCAAATTGTATAGGAAAAATAAGTCCAACTTATAAACTTAGTGAGATATTTCTCTTAACTTAGTGAGATATTCCTTCTTCCATCAATTGGTTTTAGAAGATGAAACCTCACTTGAGTTTCATCTGAGCTTTTCCTGTTATGGTGCGCTTCACGTTTACGGTGCGGATTTCTTACATAACCGAGCTCGAGTTTGTATTTAAGTAATCATTGTCTTGTTGGACATGTCATTCGTGTATAATGATTACTTAAATTAAATACCTCTAACACTAGTTAAATTTGGCAAAAATTCGAGAGTGAAATTATCCTTAAATTCGAGTCGACTTCAATCCGTTTGTATACTTAAATACCTCCAACACTAGTTAAATTTGACAAAAATTTGAGAGTGAAATTATCCTTAAATTTGAGTCGACTTCAATCCGTTTGTATAATGTTGTCGAGTTGATCCGAGTCTTGACAAGTTTGGCGAGTTGATCTGAATCTTGACAAACTTGGCTTGTCGAGTTCGAGCTTGGGCAGCTGAGGTAACAATAAAAAAAATCAAGCTTGATCTAATAAAAGTGATATAGAGCTTGATCCAATAAAGGCGATATATTGACTTAATTCGATTCGTTTGCAGTCATATATATCTCGATTCTCAAAGATACTGAGACAAAGATTAATTGCACACGTGATAAAATAATGCACGTGCACTTTTCTAGTGATTACGAAACTTTACCATATAAATTACTATCGATTTATTAGCAAATTCTGATTAATGAGCCGTTGTACACTTTTCTCTAGTGATTAAAAATCTTCACCATATAAATCACTCTCGAATTAAGTTATATTTTATTTCACACATTTTTAATCGTCAATTATCATTTTGTATGACATTAGGCTGCGAAAGATCTAATTAAATTCGTACAATCTCTTAAGGAAATTATGTACATTATTTTGAATGCTATTGTTACATAAACATTCATGTGCACATGGACAAACATTAGGTATTATTCTCTATGCGGCAACAACTATAGAGGTTAATTCAGAGAATACATAAATTATGGTGAATAATTGATTTATTTTAATCTAATAGTTTATGGTCACATGTATATATACGCCCATTATTGTTATGCACATTTTTATTAAAGAATGTTGTAAATTAAAATATAAATAATATAATATAAATAATATAATATTTAATGTTACAAATATGTATTTTGTTCATATAGTAGAACAGTCAACTCATCGAAGGATTAGACTAATATTTCACACATTTTCTTTTATATTATATACATGATATATATCATATGGCCATTATGTTGTACGAATGATTCGATACACGAGGATGTTAATTAATTAGCATACCGAAATCATCAAATAACATACTTCAATGGTCCCAATTTTAATGGAGTTATAAAATGACTACTCTATCATGTTAACCATGTTATGCATGGGGACATACTTAATATTATTTTGTTGATAGTAATTATGTGAATCAAATTATGTTTGTATAAATAATGTAATTGGACAATATTATATACTTTGGAATATACTTCTTGAACCAGCTGATAAACCACTCAAACAAGTACTCATAAAGACCTGAAAAAAATAAAAAATAAAAATAAAAATGGGCCAACCTGAGTTAAGTCCTGTTAGCCCCTTCATCAGTCATGATATATTGTCTGTCCCAACTATTAAACGAAACAAACTGCTCGTGAATTCAGCTTGACTTATTATGGATCGAGTTTGGTTCGGTGTTTTTGATAAACGAATCGAATTTGAGTTTATTAAAAACTCATTTAGTTAATGATTAAGGCTCGAAAAAGAAAGAAAAATATATAATTTTTGTAGTTCAACTTGCTAAGGAGTTCGACTCGAGTCCGACTATTAATATTAATAAAAAAAACCCGAGTTCAGATTCGATTACTAGCGTGTTAAAAGTTGGAGCTCGAATATCATGAACTCGAGTTTGGTTCACTTGTCTAATTTATAACCTTAGATCCCCAATTCCATATTTTCCTGAATTA